CAACATGTTCATTAGCGCTATTTTGTGTCTTGATTGATAAATGTTCAGATGTCTCTACTTGCGATATTTTAGTAAGACAAGTCTACGCCATTTGAAGTTTATAAGAGAGTTTTGAGATCGAAAAAGGTGTTTATCTATTACGAGGTTTAGAATTTCGGTTGTGATGAAATCTTATCAAAAAGTAATGTCGTTCTTGATATTGAGTGTTAGCTGATGTCTACCGTGCTAATTTATGTGAGAGCAATCAGGATTTCGGATCAGGACTTTGTTATATATCCAACGTTATGGGTGGTATTTTCTTATCGGAGGGTATCACTCGTTCTATGGATAGAAGTAAGCAGACTAGTAGTGAATGGATCTTTATTTACGTCGTGGAAAACAACAGTTGGAAAGCGAGGTTATTTTCTCCAAGCATACAATTTTTTTTCAAAACTCAACGTAAAATAATAAAGAAAGATAATACCTATACAAATCAAGGAATTGAATGAATCTTTGAGCCATGATTTTTTGACATTATTAAGATACATGCAGCCAAACATCAAACATCCAACCAACCCGAGTTTAATTTAATTTTAGATCTATTTATAAATTGTTTTGTTGCCATGGTCGCGATAGCTGCACTGTTGGTATACTTAGCGTTTACTTAGATTTTGTAAGGTAGTTGCTTTGTACGATCTCTAGTTCATAAAGCTCAGAGAAAGCGATTGCATTTATCATTTTAAGAATTACAGCGAATATTTTATTGACTATATGTATGACTGTTACAAGAAGTGGCAGGAAACTAAACTTCTCATATAAAACAAATTCATGCATAAAAACAGCAAACTTCTATGGAGCTAGTCGTTCGTATACCCAACCATTTTCTCCAACATGTACTAGGTCAGATCCATTTATTTCTGGAATTTGATCACAACGACGAAATCTAATACGATCATGCAGTCTGTTTGTTTGACCTTGCCAAAACTCAATTGATTTCGGAGACAGAATATATCCTCCCCTAGCAAAATATAAATAATAGATTTTTTCCAACGTTATCAACAATGTGTTATCTTGTACAAATGTGGATCGGTACAATTTGTCACATGAAAATAGGATGCACACAACTACCACTATGAAAGTCATACGGTTCGAAATAATAATAGTATTATCAGCGATAGTAAAAGCTAAGCATATAGAGTTTAGTCTTTAAAAATGAAATTGAAAGACAAATACCGTGAAATAATGTTAAAACGCAGGAACTGGAGAAAGATGAAGAATGAACGGAAACTTGCCAGTGCAAACGAATTCGTCTAGTATCAACCACGGTAATGTAGTCATAGGTTGCGGTTCTGTAAAATAGTCAATGATTAATTTGGCTTCATTTAGCCTGTCAAACTAGAACTATTTTAGTCACTATGACGCGTCGTGGTGGCCAATGTTCTTCTAGATTTCTGAAGCCTCAGTGAATGAAAATTCACAACACTGTCGAACGGTTTATAATCTTTACCTAGTAACTACATCTAACTTCAGTATTACCAACTTGGTTTTATAGAAACGCCACATCCCATAATCAAAACAGGAACAATCCATTATAGACAAACCAACGTTGTGACTGACTGACTGAGTCAAACTGACTAATAATTGCTGAAAATGTTGAGATGCACGTTAATATACCATAAACTTAGTGTCTTTAGTAGCGAAATTCACGCATATTCATTTTCTAATTCTACGTACTTTTTGTCCAGAAACTATTTGAAGCGAGAAAAAAACTATACTATTATCCTAAGACGTTGTGAACCAATTCGATATGGTGTAGTCAGATGAAAAAATGGTTGAAGAAATATAAATGACTACTTATATATTGCACTCTAGAATCAAGAATCCTACCCCATGAACCAATAACATTGAGGAAGAAGTGGTGAAAAACGAATGAAGTGTAAGGTTTAAAGTTTCTGTAGTAAATAAACTGATTGAACACCTATAAAAATGAGGTGGTTGAACAAGACGTGACATACATACAGTTTATCTGTGCATGGTATGTTGGTTAAGAGATCGTAAAAAGATTCATAGTTAATATACAAAGATGCAGTACCTATTGCAGAAGTTCCAAATCGTTGTTTTGATATGTTTATTTGTAATGAATAAAATACATAGAATGGAGATTGAGTGGTTCAAATGGTTGTGGACGGAATAGAAGTGGCTTTCGTCTAATGGGTTTTGTTTTTTAATAATGGTGGATCACTAGTTATATATCACTAGATATATTAACCATAAGAGAAAAAAATTGGTAAATTCTGATGAGATACTAACCTTATTCCATAAGAATAGGTCAAGTTTCCTCTTAAAGGACTCCAGCAAAATCGCTTGGACTGGCTCAAACGGCAGCGAATTACACCATTTGACAACTCTTAAGAAGTAGAAGTGGTGTCCACAATTCGTTGTGCTGTGTTGTATCTCCAGTTTCTAGGTGTTGCCACTTAGATTTGTGTTGGAGCTAAACTTAAGTGGGTGTTTAAGGTGATATGCCGGAGTGTTAAGGATGTTGTAAGCAATTAGGATGTCACCTCTAAGACGTCTGTACCCTAATGGGGAAAAGTTTGGATTGATTCCCCCAATTGATTTCGTGGTTCGCCATTGGATACGCTCCGGTGTCCTTATCCTTTTGGGGTGAGAGAAAATACAATGTTTTCGAACTCCGTTGGGGACGAATAAAACTGTTGAAAAATATATGGAAAGTTCTCCCATCAAACTGGCAAAAATGCGCTCCAATGTTACCAGTGCGAGGTTTGATAGACACATTTTTGTTACAGTTAACGTAAGACTTCAAATTGTAGGGTACCAGTACTCCTACATATTTTTCAACTTAGGATACTTCTAGAGAGGACTTCTCTAAGTTGTAAATGTAGTCTGCGACGTGTCGGAGATGGACTATGTTACACTTTGAAGTGTCAAAGGTAAGTCCGTTATCGTCTTTCCAACTTCGAAGTCGAGTCAGATCCTCCTGGAGTGTCTGTATGTCGTCTTGGTCGCATATCACTCTCTCCAAAGTTTCACATCATCAGCAAAAAGTAATAAGTCTGACGATGCCTGTTGTGGAAGACCGTTTATATAAATCAGGAAGAGAAGAGATCCTAGCGCTGAAACCTGAGGGACCCCACTAGGACATTCCATAGCCTGAGAGAAAGTGAAGTCAACCCTGACCTTAAAATGTTAATTTTCAAGATGTGAATTGAACCAATGAATAAGAGATGATTTGATACCCAGGCGTTTGAGTTTATTGATAAGACACATATGGCTGACCCTATCAAATACTTTTGAGAATTCGAGGTATATGACGTTAATCAAGGATGGCTGTCCACCTGCCCACCGCAGTCAGCACGTTGGTTATACAAAAGCGACCCTTACTGAAACCATGCTATTGGGATAAAAAGTAGTTTAAGGATAATAAATGGTCATGTATACCGTTGTAAATCAGGGACTTCATAGAGAGGTATAGAGAGAAGAGCCACCTGTCGGTAGGTTGGTCGCTGTGTCGACCTCCTTTGAAAATCAGTGTGATTTGAGCCAGCTCCAAATTTCTGGTAATATGCCTCGGCTTAGTGAGTATGAGAACATCACGCTAAGCGGTGTTGCCAGGATTGAAGCTGCATCCCTCAATATAGGAGAACAAACCATTTCCGGGCCAGGAGAAGTGTCTTTTCTTAGAAGCTGCAGTTTTCGGAATAACAAGTCAGCTCTCAGGTTCACATCAGAAAGTCCTGTGCAGTTGCAGATGAAGCTTTCATCAATGTAGATAATATGGGTCGGTTGAAATGTCCGAGAATACTATTCAGCCTGAAGTTTAGCGGCGTCACTAGTATTATTAGTGAGCCCATTACGACCTAGTAGTTGAGATGCTTCACCTTTTTTCTTCTTAAAGAGAGGCTGCATAACGGAATAGGCTTCTCCGGTTGGAGACTAATTTATCCATAAGCTTTATCTAGTACTAAAGCCTGTCTTCTTTTATTGACTTTGTGCATATGTTCCTTATACATTTGTATTGTCTGTACGCACCATTCGTTTTTACTTTGCCCAGCAATGTCTTTTGCGACATAGTAAACGAAGAGTGAGGTTCCTGATGACTGTAGGCTGCTTGTTGCTTTTGGGGACCGTCTGAAGATTGACTGATTTGTAGCACATAAGAGCGTGTGCAGTAAGAAATTCCAAAGAGCATCCATACCAAGGTAAGGGTGAACATCGCAATCCCCCTGTTGTAGATAGTCCTGTAAAGATGACACATTCAAACGTTTAAAATTCCAGCCCTTTTTGATGGTGGGATGCTTTAGCTCAGTTTTGCTGGCATAACTGAAGCCTATAACAGTATGATCGCTTTCCCCTAGGTGAGCAAAGATTGAGAAGTTGTCAATTAGGAATTCTTTGATTGTAAATACCCGGTTTAAACGCGACGGTATCTGACCGTTTCTCCAACGAGTTGCCGACTTCACATTCTCGAATAATCCCAGATCCTCAGTGAAGTTGATGAACCGAGCTTCAGTAGTATTTCCACGTATGTACTGAGAAATTGACTTCAGGAAGATTGAAGTCCGCTGGAATCAGGATATGAGTGAGTCCGAGATGGGTAAAGCGGGGTAACCCTTCCCACATGAGATTGTCGTACTCGATGTTACCAGTTGGCTTCCTGTTGATGACTCAAACTAGACATCTCGAGGTGGTAGACAGTCTTACTGAGCACCATACGTGTTTCATCAAGAACGATTAACTGTTGGTTGTACTCTTGACGTACTTCCAGGCAAGAATGTAGGTATAAGGCTGCTCCACCCCTAATTCCTGGTTTTCTGTCATTGCGAAACGAAGACATCCCGACATCTAATGCCGATTAACATAAATCTCTGACAGTTGAAAAAGTATTACATCTTTCAACCTCTAAACATTCGACAAAGCCTTTAGCGTTACATCACTCTCAAGTATTATTCAGGTTTATGTAAAGCCATGGTACTTTTGTTATTTCGAACTAGCGGTTAATGCGCGGATTTCAAACTCGACATTTGATGGCGAACCGTAAAAGGAACAGGCCAGAGGATTGGGAGGATTTGGAGCCATCTCCAGTTATTCATATACGGGAGTTGCCAGAACATACTCTCGAGCTGGACTTAATTAGAGTTTTTGAACAGTTTGGCTCCATTAGGGATATTGCAATGATTCCACATAAAGGTCAAGCACTAATTGAATTTGATGACATCAACTCAGCAGAAAGAGCTGTTGCAAGGTAATCTTCAGTAATATACAAATTACATAAGTATAAGATGTTCAGAGAATGCCGTGATGTTTGCTAACCACCGATTGAAAGTTAACTATAGTACATCCAAACGTGTGGTCCACCGACCTCTAGAAAATGATAACCAGCACTCCGAATTGCCTCCCGAAAGCCGTGTACTTATGTTAACGGTTTACAATGCTCAATATCCTATCACAGTCGATGTCATCCATCAAATTACAGCCAAACATGGACGCGTTTTACGCATTGTCATTCTCCGTAAAACCCGAATACAGGTACTTGTAGTTTGACATTTTACTTGTTCAAAGGCTATGGTGGAGTTTAAAAATACAGAAGAGGCCCGGACTGCTAAGCGGCATCTTAATGGGGCCGACATATATTCTGGCTGCTGTACACTGAAAGTCGAGTTCGCTCGTCCTACACGCTTGACTGTTACTCGTAATGATCAAGATTCATGGGATTTTGAAAATCCATTATTACTGTCTACCTCACTTAATGAAGCTGATGGGCGTGGAGATATTTCTCTATTAGGTAAGAGGAGTCTTTGCTTACTATTGTCTTAGGACGTTTTGAACGTTCACGTGCTCGACACGAAAGCTCAAGGTCTGTTAATGGTGGCAACTTTGGCTATCATGATGGTTTCATAAAGCAAAATGCTGTCGGGCTTAGTGTCCCACCTGCTTCGTTCTTGGACCAGTTGGCTTTAAATTACCATGTATCGAGGCGTGGTCTCGATGGATTGAATGGTCAACCTTATGCTAGGGCTGCAACTGCTGTCATAATGGTATATAACATGGATATGGATCATATGAACTGCGATCGGTAAGTTTTATTCTCAAGACTTTATCAAGCTTAAAAAGCCTGATAATCATTTTGGCCTTGCTCAGTCAACGTGGCCTTCCATACTCATAATTCGAACTTATTTCTTTATTCGTTTACTCGGGTATGATTAGTGGGTATACAACTTTCTTACCATTTGGGTAGGCATTAACTACTTTATCTGGTAGGTACACTTATTTAGGAAATGTATAATATTAGGTAGTATTAAGACTGTAGCTGTTAGTTACACAAATATTTTACACAAACCCGACATGTGTTGTTTTAGGCCCTGGTAAAGACCTTACGTGTGTAGCGACTTAGGTTACTCACCAGTCTATTCAAACAGTAAAACCAAACTCGTGAGTCCTTTTATTCGTGTTCTTATTAATAATACACTTGCACCTAGATGTTCTGTCCTAGCATGTTTCTTACTCTTCGTTGTATATCTACCAGCTTACCCTCATCTATTTGGATTTTATTAGCTGATGCACAAAATTGAGTTGATTGGTCTCCATTCCATCTGCTCACATGAATCCCTGAAATGTCTCAAACAGACTTTCAATTCTGCGTTTTACTGACGTGAAAAATTGTACCACATATAGGGAATTGATTGAAGGTGTGTATGTTGGAAATCGACTAAATTACGGAGTTTACGAGGTGCCACAAGTTGCTGACCTCGATGTAATTGGTAGTTCCGGATCAGATTTAAGGAATACTTGTAAGCGAATAGGTTATTTATTCTAATACACAAAGTCAGATAATACTAGTTTCAGTATATCCTTAGACCATCTGTTTTATTTTTATTATTTTATTTGAACACATAAATACTGGTACAAGGGGGCACCAGAAACATGCGCAGCACAAATCTCATTTGATTTGTGTAAGTGCTGTGATTCTGCCCGGGTGCCCAGACTGAAGCAGGTGATCTTAGGGGGCCACACCCGGAGCATCTGACCTAAAGGTCCGACCCACAAGGCAGTAGAGCAACTTAAGGAAATTCAGTCTCAGACTCTCCGTGACTAGCTGTTTAAAGTAGTGCTTACTATAGTTCCACTAGAAATAGTCTCGTCAATTTTCTTGTAATTTACTGTGAATGAGTTTCAAATTGTAGGATGGACTACTTGTTTTCCACTAGACCAAATTTGCTAAAACTATTAATCCTTCCAATTTTTGGTAATTGGTCAATTCTATTGAGTTTTTTATTATCACGCTTTCGTTTTGTTTTAGATTGTTCAACCTTCTTTGTCTCTATGGTAATGTTGTTCGTATTAAGTTTTTGAGGACTAAAGAAGGATCAGCTATGGCGCAAATGGGCGATAACGTTAGTGTTGATCGTGTCATTACTAACCTGTCAGAAGTCCCATTGATGGGAAATGCATTGTCGGTATGGTTCTTTCTATCTTAAATTCATTTTGTTGTTTTGCTGACAGGTCACTAGTTTTTAAATACTAGTGACTAATAACGTCTTAGCTTTAGTTAGTCCTACGTGCTGTCACCATATTGTTACCATATATTCGGTCAGTTTGACCCAGTGAATCGACCCAAGTCGTCATTATATCACATAGCAGTGATTATTATCAATGATAGTAAAAACAATTGACCACTGATAGGCTTCCAATACAAGATCTAATTTGCCTGAAGCAAAGTAGAAAGTAGTTTTTTAAATTCAGGATCTACGCTACTGTTACTGATTATGAGCCATCGTTCTCACTGTCCGACAATTGATTACTTCTATCGCACTGACCCCAACTGGGCAGTCTACACCAAGTAGCATGATCCGCTTCAGTATTCATTGATTTCATGGATTGGTTTCTTATCTTTACTTAATCGCCTTTAGTTTTATAACTTACTCTCATACCAAACAACACACGGGTTGGCTAGTGGGGTTAGGTTTTAGTAACATTAGGATCTACCGTCCCATCAATCGATTCTTTATCTTTGCCTAGTGTTCTCCTGATAATATTGCTCTTTTGTTTCACAGTACGTAAACAGTCTTCCAAATAGACGCTAATGTTAACGCAAGTTGACAAATCTAGGTCAGATTTCGAATCTGTGCCGAGATTTCGTCAGGTACCAACTCACCAGAGTTGATGAGGCTTTTAAGAGAGGTAGACAGGTCAACGCACTTAAATACTGCTCTCCTTATGATCAATTTTGGTCAGTTAGGCATATGCGACGCTCCACCTAACCTATTGATAACTGACGCTCAACTCATCTATATGTTCACACATATAACTGAGTTATATGTTCATTGCTCCCAACTAGCTCTCGATAACTAGAATCAATATGCATTCTGATTGCACCATATGTCAGAAAACTAAATTTAGAACTAGTCTCGCGAAAATACACTAATATTCATCTCATTTGAGTTTCATTCATCCGACATCCGCGATCTTACGTATTAGTCGCTTCGTAACACTTACACGGCTAATCAATTAAGAGGGGTCGGAAATGTACCCCTTCATGATTCAAAAGGAATATGGTTCGAAGTATTTCGTCTCCACAGTCAATCTTCTATTCCTCTGGTCATCCCTGTAATACATATTTAACAGGATGTCTGTTCATCATGCAAATGAAAACACATATTACTCAATATCCAATTCTAACAGTTTCAGAACAGCAGTGAGGTATATACACCGACACAGTTATCATTCAACAAGTTAATTATTCTTTACTTGATCGTAAACGTCTACGTTGATAACCCAGTAATCATTATCAAATACATTTAAACTCTACTATGTTCTATCTTTTTCTCAACTGCTTTCGTTTTTACTTGAGCTTTTCATTACTAAACTCGGAGGCTCATTAAACTGTCAAACATACTACAAACAGTTTTTCACAATGTTACATAAAACATTTTGCATCTTAAGCGCGGAAAGCTCATCTCAAACATAAATGTCACTCACCAATATAATAAGGCATTCCTAAGTTATCGGACTACCAACAATCAAGGCCAGACTATTTATTTACTTCTGGCATTACTTTCTTACTAATATAGTTCTTAGAATTGAAGCGATAAACTTCTTTGCTGTGTTCTGCCTTCTTATAAAATTTCCGTTGATATTATTATATAGAGTTGTATTTCTCCCTTGAGGGCTGAAACATTTATATTCACACCCTTCAAGTATTATGCTACAATTAGTCGCAGATGAAATTAAACAGTGATCCAGTCTCATAGTTGATGGTATTATGAAAACAGTATGTGACAGAGATGTACATATATTGTCGTAAGGAATGTTTTTTGATCTCGCTTATACAAATGACACGTAGGTTGTCTAAACCGTGCCTAATCATTTACAATCATTATTCCATAATAGGATATATACTTTACACCTTCGAAATACCAACTACGCTTATAAAACTGAAAGGAGCCTGGATCTTTACTCCTTATGTTTGTCCATTGGAGATAGGCGACAAGTTCATTTATCTTGATAGCCGTATGCTGGTCCTGGCTTGGCTGATGAAATCAACCTAGGCATAGTCAAAGCAGAAGCTTATGTTGACTTAGTCCATCTTTGGCTCCGTTGCAATGTTATTCTAGTTGTTATAGGTAGGGTATATGTATCAAAAAATGCACTTCTGCCCTGTGTATGTAAAACTTGGACTCTGTTTTGATGATGTTTGATGATTTTCCGTATTTAGTCCTTGTTGCACCCAAAGGATCGCTCACATACGATGCTGACACTATCCAAGTAATCTCGAGGTCTGACAGTTTGTTCACAAATGATATTTCAGTTTACCGTATATCAACATATCGGCTTCTCTAGCTTAAGCTTGTCTTACTAGTGTCATTTTAAAGAGCTCTCAAACCGCACATTTTTTTCCGAAATTAGAACTTGGGAGGAACAGAAAGTCCAGTTTATGAAATGTGGGATGTAAGGTAAGACTGGCGTCCAAGTTAATCACAACCATTTAGTTTAGGCTTCAAATATCATGCAACCCGATAGCTTGAGCTGTCATCAAGAATGGTTCAGAATAAAAACATTGTAACAATCCCGCTATAGTTTCTTACCTTTTCATATGAGTAAGCTCCCATTATAAAAGTAAAGATCTATCACGCTTACACTCCCATTCGGACTGCTTCTTTATAGAATACTTTTTCTCATTTACTTCTTAATTATGTGGTTTCCCGCTTTTTATTTTCCTCGGTATCATCTACTCATTCTGAATTACTTGACCTTCGGCTTCGTTTTCGGAGTTTGTGTTATAAATGGAATTAAATGTAGGTGTACTTTTTGCCGTGCTGATAGTTACATTTAGGGTCCTAAAATATGAAATTTTTCAGGACATTTCAACAGAACACTTAAATAAAAACTAAACGGAATGATATCTATCATTTCTTTTTGTGGTTAGCTATTGTAGTCAGTTGAATGTACTTGGTTTGATTTTTTGTGTAGCGGAAAACTCAGTGTTCTCAATTTACTTTTAAATTCTAGATTCGTCCAAGCAAACAACAACTTATCCTGGACGTACCGAAACCTTTTGAATTACCAGATGGTACCCCATCTTTCAAAGACTATTCAGGGTGTCGTGAAAATAGATATATAAATCCAGACAAGGCGAGTAAGAATAGGATCTATCCACCATCACATACTCTGCATTACTGGAATTGTCCTCCGAGTTATACCCCAGAGGAACTACGCAAGTTGATTGTTGAATGTGGTGCTTCACCACCTCGGTATGTAGTGCTGTTTCTCAATGTTCGCTTTCGATATTTGTAAACGCCATACCACTGCTTCTTACTTTTATCCCATGGTCATCTAATTGCATGACTAACATTTTTTCAAATGATAGTCATAAGTGGTAATAAAGTGTTTTTGTATAACGCCTTAAGACAACAAAATCTAATCAGTCGGCAATACTCATCACACTCCTATTCAATTTCACAGAGAAATTCAAGCGGTCGAAACATAGCATTGATAATAATATTTTCCATCCATTAATTGTGCCATGCAAAATTCACTGCACGTGAATGTTGTGTTTACCACCACCTGGGCGTGAAAGTGTTTTGTCGGTATTAAATTCGATAGTCATTGTAAACTAAGGGTATCTTCAGTTGTGGAGCATAATTATTCGCTATGATACTCTTGTAAGAAATAATGTTTGCAAGATTAGGTTCAGCACTATCATCAATTTGATTGGTACCAGTATGATAATTATTTAGGACATTAAAGTGTATTTAGTTGTGTATTCTTATTCATTAAAATAATAAGGCGCTTAAGTATTATTTCGCGACGACAACAGATATCTCATCCGTTGTTTTATCTGTTTCTGTTAAAGGTTAAACTATTGAAATAGCTTCCCATTCACTTATAATATGTGCTTATCATTCTGTAAGGTTTTGGGTGGTAGCTCAGTGAACTGACTTACTTTTTCGCCGAACTGTATCTTGTTTGATTTCCCTATGAAGAACATATACTTCTTATATAATATATCTGTCAGTCAGTAAAATATGTATCTGTAGTTAATTCAATTTCTTAACTTCTGTTCTTTTCGGATAATTCCTTATTTTGTTCAAACTGTATGCAGCCAAATTGCACCTTTCCCAAGGATTAGTGATAGATCCTCTTCAGGCCTTGTAGAATGGGGAACAAAAGATGAAGCCGTTACTGCCCTTGCTTTGTGCAACCACCAAGCTATTCCAAACACCGAAGGTCGTTATCCATTTCTTCTTAAACTGTCATTTTCAAGCTCTCCTGTCAATGACCGGGCATTTTCAGGTTCAAAGAAGATTGGCTCATCAAATATTGGAAAGTCAGCAGCATCCGTAGACTCTAGCGAGTATGAATAGTTAATGGATAGGTTAGTTAGCACTTGTTTGAATTTTTTAAAGTCAATGGTTTTTTATCCATTTCTTTTTGTTTGTTGTGTCATTTATCTCACCGCTTTCCCTGTGTATATAATACAGGTCTAATATACTCTTAAAATCATGTTATTATTTCCTTCGTAACATCTACTAACGCGGCTCATTATACTTTCATTTATTTAAAATGTTTTGGTTTGACTGTTTAGTTAATTTTCTACTGTAATTAAAAAATTACCCTTCACATCGTCTTTTTACACAATGCATTTGTTTTTGGAAGTGCATTTTGATCATGTATCTTTTGTAGCGATCCATTTTTCTGAGCTCTATAAATTACACAAGGTCTCAAGTATTCCTACATAAACTTAAGTATCAACGTTTCTTTGCTAATAACTTCAGATATTTTGTTTCAAGAAGCTTCAAACACAATCCTACCTCTTTTTGAGACCTTCCTCCCAAAGTTGCTCGCCATCATAATTTTTTCACCGAAGTTAATTTATGGATGATGCGAAATGAAAACTGTTTGTCCGTGGATCACATTAGAGTCGTCAATCGAACACAGTATATTAAGTCTACTTAATTTTCATAGTAGAAAATGATAGTTTCTTTTTTTTACTTAAAAGCAGCATTTGACTTTGTACACCAGAAGGTTATGCGGCAGTGTCTGTCATTGAAAGGCGTACCTCAGAAGTACATAAACCTTGTGAAGGCTCTTTACTCGAACACTACTAGTCCAGTCACAGCTTATGGCGAACTGTCATCTGATTTTGCAACCTAAAATGGTGTCCGTCTAGGTTGTCCACTATTTCCATTTCGGTTTATTTTCATCATAGATATACTACTGGAAATGACGTCCACGTCGACTGAATTTTCACGAATTAATCTCCTTCCCGATGGTCCACTTGTAGACTTAGAATATCCAGATGACAGTTCTGTTTGGTGAAGACGCTGATAAGATGCAGAGTGCTTTGGTAGCATTGAGCAATAATGCCAGGATGTTTGGAATGCATTTCTCCCTTTCTAAGAGCAAATTGCTGCTTCAGAACTAGTCTGCGTCAACACCTGAACTAAAGATAGAGAGTGAAGTAGTCGAACGCGTCGACAACTTCACTTATCTCGGAAGTCTGATCAACCCTAATGGGTTGGTGTCTGACGGAATCTCTGCACAGATTCAGAAAGCTCGTTCGGTTTTTGCCAACTTATGTCACCACCTATGACGAAGGCGAGATATCCGTCAATCGATTAGCGGACGGGTCTACTGTGCAGCAGTTCGTTCTGTGCTACTTTACGGCTGCGAAACGTGGCCATTAAGAGTAGAAGATATTCGCAATTTACTAGTATTTGATCACAGATGTCTTAGAAATATTGCTCGCATCTGCTGGGATCATCGGGTAAGTAATAATGGGGTTAGATTCAGTGTATTAGGGAATGATGGTAAATCAGTTGATGAGGTTGTGAATCTACATCGACTGAGATGGTTGACCCACGTGTTACGTATGCCTGAACATCATTTACGACGACGCGCAATGGTGATTAGTGTTGAGGCGGCTGGAAGGAAGTTAGGGGTGGTCAAACCAAAACGTGGCATCAGTGCTTAAAGTCACTAACTTCTAGTCTTAGTCATGTTGGTAGATGCAGACCACTTGGTTGGGGTCCGCGTGACTATCGTAACCGATGGTTGTAGAGTCTTGGTGAAATGGCTCAGAATCGATCACAATTTGCGTAGGTGTATATACTCTTTGTCTGCTCTTAAACCGTGAGATTAAAATTACTTCATACCTTTCTTTCTAATAACTAATTCTTTCTTCCTGTATTATATCCCACGCAATCTTTCTTTTTATATATTACTATCATTGAAGTAACTACTTCTATGGATCTGGTGCTCATCTTGTATTAATGAGGTGTGGCAACTTGGACCGGTGCATATATGTGCCTGGTCCTACGCTGTTTGACTGACTGTTAGTTGTTAGCCCTTTTGTAGTCTTCCAGTTCCTTCAAACACTTATTATTCTTTGTTGTACTTGGTGTTCATTCTAGTCTGATACCAATTTAAATGCTTAATGTAAGCTGGTTTAAACAGCTACTTTCGTGCGAATCAAAAGCTTTTATTGCCTTACCCACATGAAGGACATGCACAAATTCATTCATGTAGATATGTCTCCTTGAAAATCAAGTCAGGTTCTCTACTAAAAGCGTGAACCAGTGAACATTTCTCCCTTATTGACTGGCCTTGAAATGGTACGTCTGACCTAAACTATAGTTTTTCCATACAACAATATTGGCACTTCAAAAGCTTTGATTTTTCTTTATAATTAACTATCTTTTGATGAATGTGCGAGCGAAACATTCGTTTTTCTGCTAAATAAATGCTCAATAAATATAAGAGGATAACTGGAATTACAGGGAAAAAAGTGTAATATGAAATATATAAGTTGTCACGCTACCCTAGGTTTTTACAATGGGATAACAGTTGCCAAGAAATAATCCAGGTTTAAAAAATGTTTTTGGACACATAAACGAGGTTCGCACTTTTTAATACTCAATACTTCCATCTGTTCAGCAATGCACCCTTGGTAATTCCTACACATAGATTTAAAAGCTGTTTTAATGTCAATCTTATAACCTGTTTTAATTGTTTTGCTACGGGGAGCATGATTTTACTCCTGCGTTTATCGAGGTTTGAGACACTAATTGATCATGAAACAATTTCATCATTAATTATTCCTCTCTATGTATGTGTTCACACATATGGTCATTGGTTATTGCATGAGGTGTAATGTTGTTTAAACTGCGTTGAGGCCTATCTGAAATCATTTGATTAGTCTACTCATTTATAATCAATTTTGCAACACTGTATCTTTTTTTCGATGGTCGCTTTCAGTCTCTGCCTCAAAATCATGCTGTTTGATTCTTCTTTATAAACTTTGAAGAACATCTGTTTGATGTCATTTTTTCAGTCATCCATTTTATATCCTCTTCAATCGTGTCTATATTTCAGATCCGTTGAATCTTATTGTATTTTCGAGTCGCATGTGTGTGAATTCATACATGCAGAAGAGCAATCGGACAGCACCAGTCAAGGATGATGAAACATGTGCCAAAGTGGTTTCATGATCATTTAGTTTCGAACAACTCGATTATTTCAGGGAGTGGGAAATCATGTTCCTCGTTAACAAGACACAATTTATCCTCTTTTTGTTTTGTTGCGAAAAGTGACAACCCGAAGTGGCTTTTTGACACGACTTTCTGCGTTGTATTCATTAAAACTGTTTGACTATTCAGTTGGTCACTTTGTTCATTCGTGTCACCACGTTATCGTGTTTGGTAAATATCTTATAATTAGGCCGTATTGTTTATAGAAGAGTTTGCTTTGTGCTATTTACTCATCGATGCATCTTGTCTCTGGGCTATTGGCCATTTTCTACGTATTTATTTGCGTTCATGATTATGTGTACATTGTTCGACTCAAAAATGTCATCGAATAGCACTTCTGTTCATCTGTATGCCTAACAACTTTTGTTCATGAATGAATATCTTTTGAGTTTCAAAATTTCTTTATTGATACTGACCTTTTTAATCCATACAGTACACGACACACGTTATGTACATTACTTCTACTAATTAAAAACTCCATTTCCTGTATAAATGTTAAATACAAATAACGGATTTCGCCAATGCACATGAATACATTTATGCTAAACCCGCATATAAAATAAACATGCGTTAGGGTCACAACGCTTTCTACTAAATATCAAGTGATTACATATGTTTATTCATCTTATCTACTAAATTAAAAATTTGTAATCGAGTCAATTTTTCGCAATCAGATACTAATTAATTTAATGGATTGTCGAGTCAGGTTAGCCGGATTTTATGAATTCTTGTATTATGACGTAACAGTTCGTGGGTTTTAGTTAAAATGGACTTTTCAGTGAATTTTTGTTCACAGTTATTTCGTAGTAATAGTTTAAATCATTTTCTTTTAGCTAAACAAAAGTGAACTGTTCATGTTATCCTGTATAAGTAACATTCTTTGATTAGCTTTCACCTGTGTCGGTCTACAGTTTATTTTTGTTTTTAATTCAAGTGAATATAACAACATAGGATTTCTGAATATTTGAAGTTTCTTCAATAAAACTTTTGTGACAACAGAATTCACATTATCTCCAATGTGTAGTTTAGTTAGCTAGGTTTCAATGAGATTGTTGTTTAAATTTTATTCGTAGTTATGGTACCCTAATGTTCATCTTTAAAAACACTAATATCGTTCGACCGAATTCATTTGATTAGTTCTTATTTTTTGATTGAACCAAGAATCAATCATTCTCTTGTTTTCCTTGCACTTTATTTATTTGCCTTCTATTAACTTCATTATTTTCGTAATCCTTTGCTACTAGTTTTTTGAAACATAAATAACATCTTTCGGTTTCTGTAGAGTTCTACTTGGTCATATTTTTACCGGGTTTTTCTGACTATTCTGTTTACTCGTGGAATATGGTTTGAAATAGTTTTCGGGTTATGTGGAGTGTTATGTCAGTAAGCATATTGCTAATATGTTACATGAAGGTGTTCATATTACATTGTAATAACAATATTTTAATTTGACATTTGATATACATAATTCTCAAAACATTTATTATAAATTCATGGCCAAATATCATAGCAAACTATACAAGTTAAAAATATCCATGCTCTAATTGTTCATTGTTTCCCCCATCAGACTATCCGTTCAACATAACAAACGAACACAGCATTTGTCATCAAAATTTATTATCATATTCTTCACATGGTGATTCCTGTGGTACAACAATCAACGCAGTCGCACTATGCATTCAACTAAATTACATAATCGCATATTGAAGCTGAACCACACATCAATCTTCAACGTCAATTTATTATTTCAATTTATTCATACTGTCATTCTTCCCTTTTCTGTTTAATTAGTCTTCATATATATCTATATCTATATATGCATCATTGTCATTTATTAAAATTGGTGTGTCTATTACTTGTCGCTTGCCTATTGGCTTTAACTATTGCTAACTGACACTCATGAATATGGAGATGGCATTTTAAAAAAAATTCTAATACAATTTTGATGCTAACTGTTTTCTGTTTAACTGACTATATGTTTATGTGTTCCTGACACCGTTATTTTAATGTTTATTTGCATGCTATTTTCGCATTTAGGACTTATAAGTGGGTAAATTTATTATGTTTTCGCAGTAAACATATATCCTGAATAGTTAATTGTCGGTTTTATGTCTGGTTTGACTATTCCTATTGGTTTTGTTGATTACAACATACCATTATTTTCGTGATCAGTGTACTTTGTCAGTTACCATATATAATTTGCAGGTATTTTTTGTTTGTGCGTTTTCTTTGACCATCTCTGATTGTTCATACTTTGTTAGTGCATTTAAAAATAATATACACAAATAAAAACATTCCCTTAACAATCTTACACAGAAATAAATGTGAAAGGCTCTTCATGCATTTTACTGTATAACTGACGACGTTGATTTCTCATCTGCTTGATGCAGATTTAAATAAATAATGCGGAAGTAAGATTTTTGAAAATAAATAAAATGATCACATTCTATTGACCAGTTGGGCTTTGTATGTTTTTAAATACATATATTTGATAAAATCCTCAGATCAGAATATTGCAGCATACTCTCATCTGAACATGTTATAGATTTCTTCTTATGGACTGATATAATGAAATCCCAACCTTGATATATTGAACAACATATTTTTGTGCAGTATTCTGCGTTGTATTATGGCCGTTTAATCATCAGTATACTTGATTGCATTCATCATATTCAACCATAGATTATGTAATATTCTTTTGTCTTTTGCATACTATTAACTAAAACGACTGTTTGATCCAGCATAAATTAGGTTAAAAATATTCAGTAGGACAATAAAATCTCATTAACAATTATATATTTGAATTTATTTCAACTGATGTCTGCAGTACAATTGAGCTGTATGTGTTGCATTTAATATTCGTGTTTCAGCATATATGTGTATACAAATGTGATACTATCTCTGCTGAAGTGGGAATGTGCAGAAGTATATGTAATTTCAGTATCACTTCCGTAGGTGTTTAGTTTACTGCTTTACTATTTACATTTTAAAATTTTGCCTTCTATATTAGGTCACTTTGATTACCTCAAGTCACTATTAACATGTGCGTTTTTTCCTAACACCTAAGTCAACTTTTAGCTAATCAAAATCATTAGGAATTTTGTTTATTGCGTAAAAAATTACCATATATTCTGGAGTTTTTCACCTTGTTTGATTTTAATCATTTTAGACAGTTTCCCTTCGTCTTTATTTATTAGTTTCTTGGTGAATGAATAAAAAAGATATCTTCTGTTTATGTAATGAAAGTTTTTCTAGCATTCAAATGATACATTTTGTCTTAATAACTTCTTGAAATTTGTTAGTTTTTTCTGATTTTATCTTCATTGTATTCAGTTTACAGAGCACGTAGAACTAAAAACACTTCACTTATTTGTTCTTTAGCATGACAGATATGTGCATAATATATTTTCAGTAATTGTATATAATTACATAATTTCATGTACATGTGGTGAAAATCATCCTGTAGTGATCAATACAACTGTATTTCATTGTCTTTATGGACACATAAACCAAAGATGAACTTATTCAGCCTACTTGAAGTTCCACTATGATCAAAATATTATGATTTATGTTCGATATGTGTAGAAAATTTAGATGTATTTACATTGTCAAATATAGTAAAGCAGTGAGAAACTTTTAGTCGACGTTTTTTGAAACGCTAATTTCTTTCAAGTGTATTAGCAGACATAAGCTTTTTCTTTAGATATGATTAGCAGATGTCTAAGTCTTATATTCAATCCTAGAAAGCCGGAAAAATATCAGTTAGCGATTCCTATTATTGCCGTTTATAGTTTAAGGTATGTTGGTGGTCTTGGCTATAATTTTCATTATAGCCGTGTTATTTAAGCAGAAAGTAACGAGTATGATTAAAAACTGGCTTAATTAACTAGGATTTTGTCCATCTGCCATCACACTCCTAATCCTTAAACTTAACTCATCACAATTTGTTTTTTTGGGTTTTGTTTGTCAATTATTTTCATTATATGTTTCGATGTTTCCGCATGTTCTCTCGATGTATAGTTGCTCATCAACAGTTCATCTGTGAATTTAATCTTATACTAATTTCTTAGGACTATTGACTTCTTGACAAGCTGTCATGTTGGATTCATCATCATAATTCCTACAAAATGTATTCCTATTTTTTCGCTTTGTTAAAAATCATTAGGTGTAATACAAAGGAGATAAGTTTAGCATATTTTATGAAATTATTGCTTAGGTAGTTTGCACCATTTCTTGCATTTCGTTTGCCTGTTATCTCATGGTTTTCTGGTATTTTTGTATATTGTATACATTTTTGAAAAGCCGAATATAGTCGCCGTTCTATGGCTGCTTAAGGATTTGTATACGTAGCCACCTTTATCGACATACCGTTGACGCTAGTTGCTTTTTGTATGGGTTTCATAGTAGTGGGTAATCAACAGTGTTGATGTTTCACATTGATTTTTTTGTATCTAATTGATAGCAAGAGCAAAGAGATTATAGAATAAACTAAGATGTTAAGCTTATAGGTTCCTTAAGGACAGTGAATTTTATAAACGTTGCACCTCGATCTCGAACTTATACAAATATTTATTGTGTGAAACTATCGACTTTATTATCACGATATTAAAATATAGTGAAAAAGCATTTCTAGAGATGAGTTTATTCCTTATGGTCTTCAAAATGTTACCCAAAGTTCATCCAAAATATGTCATTTGTCTTTTTAGTTCGTCGTAGTGCGTATGAATCTTAGTTTATTGTATGAGGTCCAAGTTAAATTTGGAGCCCAGTATGTGTTTTGCATTACCAACATTCAAATGAATACAACGGATTTTTTGCCCTGATAAATTCGTAATGTACAAGAAATCTTATCAGTCACCACCGACATCACTATGTTAGTAATTAAGTTTCATGTAATATTGCTATATCGGATACATACTGGATAAGGAGCATATGTTGGTAACACAGCTTGCAAGCTATGCTATATGGATTGTATCATTTACACATGCTAGTACATTGTGTTGGGAAACTTTGTGCTTTAAGGAGACCTACATTTCAAAGGATTCTTCACTCTAATTACCTTAGCCAGCATTTTGAATACAAGCAAAATAAAACGATAATTTGAATACCATTATTGTCACACAAACAAGAGTAGGCGCAGGCGTTTACTAAAGTTCCCAAATTCACTATGATTGTCATTATAACATTTTCTTATTCACCCATCACACAGTGTAGAACTTGGTGAAAAGCTGTATAGGTCATGCGATTAAAAGACAACGAGGATTTAGAACGAAGTACTCAGGTGTCAGAAACGTATAGTCCATTTTTCCAAGCTGGTCGTCAACAAACGCATTCTCGTTCTGCTAAAAAAAACTCAGTCATAGCAAGTTGCTAGCCATTCTTGTTATATGCTTGTTGTTGAAAATGTAAACTGGACAGTTACTGCAATATTTATAAGGTCCCCAAGGTGCATAACGAACAAATAATTTGTTACTATTTCCGTCTACATTTGAGAAATGTATTGGGAGAATACTTTGCTCTGATTTTCTAGAGTGGAGAGGATATTTCACGACTAGTCTCATAATCTTACAATGCATGCGAGAGAGTCTTTAGCTCTAGGCGGTGTTAGGCTTTCCGAAATTCAATTAATTGTTTTTAGAAGCATATGAAAAAATGGTCGCCAATATATATGCACACAAACACATATTTGAGAGGAAATTTGTCGAGAATAATGTTCGGAAACTAGGAAGTCAGCTAAACACTACTAGCTGAATTCCCGATTGAGCACTACCTATGTATTGGCTTAGTGCATTTTAAGGTCCTATATTTTCCACTTACATTTCCAGGTTTCTCCGTACTCTCTTCGTTTTACCGTTTTCAATACATTTTTAAATTTGATTTGAGTTCATTCGCACTGTCTGATGGCCTCCATACTTCAAGTAATAGAAGTGATTCCATAGCAGTCATCAAGACTGTGAGTCCATATTGCTACATGAAATGTATGTTATGTTAGAAGGGTACAAACTGTTTTCTGAATCAGAAACGTACAGTTGAGTCAGTGAGCATTTGCGAAGCTAGCTGAAAATAAGATAGGAGAGAATAATTCCATTGTAAACATTTAATCGCTACTAGCTAAAACTAACATTTAATAACAGGTGTAAGGTACATGTAGCTCGTCATCCAAACTTATTGCTTTCTTCCGTCGTGAAAAAAGCCAGACCCAGGGTATTCATCACTTGTGCTATTTGGTTTTATGCGGAAATAATCCCGAACGATCTTTGACAATTTTCTCACCAGGGGTTTTCTGAACAACTTTCGAACTCATCAAAGAGATTTTGTTCCTCAAATGTGGCTCCCACAGTATTCATTCCTTTGGGCGTCTGTAATGTGGATGCGCGACTTAAAATGTCTGTGTAGCCGCTCCACCTCCTTCACAACGATAGGTGACATTGATTTATACAGCGTATGTCGACCTTGCTAGACAGATCAGTGACTGCTCACAAAATTATATACGTATATAATCAAAAGCAGAAGCATAGTTCAGAAAAGCGCATCGAACAAGCTAAACACTATATTGTGATGCAGAAAAGCAGCGTCATCTATGGTGCTTCTTTTGCATTTACGTTCTTCTATTGCCGATTGAAGTGGGAGTATCAATAGA